CTTGGAGGAGAAGAGGGAATGCGAGCAGTCACATGAGCACCGATAAAAGCAACTAACAAAGGTATATCCAGCGTTTTTATAATAGTAAATGGGGTAACATGCTTAGTAATTGTCTGTGGTGTAATAGAAATAGTTTGAATTGGTTTGCATTTACGTACACTTTCATAATTGCATACTTAAGGGTGTACTGATAAAACTTGGGCAGAGCCATTCACTCTACGAACATCAGACTTTTACATTTGCGCTACGTTATGGCCACTAGATGGAGCTACGGAGTATAGGAATTTCCTATGTCCCTCGGCTCCATCTAGGCGGCAGAATCCGGTGCCAATATAAAGGTCTGATCTTCGCAAAGCAAACGGCTCGCTAATTGAATGGTGTCTTCTGTCTTCTTCAGAAAGTTTGTTGGCATTATATAGAGAAGACAGGGAGCATTCGCATTTGATCATGTGCAATCACTCTTCAGTTTAAAAAAAAAGCGGTATTCTAATCAGTAGCTCCTTAAAGGAACTCTGGTCCAATATTAATACAAACCTGTTGCCTGAAAAGCAGACTGTAAATACTTACCCGTTCTGAGAAATTGTCCTCTGAAGTCTGTAGGGAAACAGAGACTTCCCACGTAGTGCTCACAAAGGAGGTCGGCATTCCCAGAAGCAGATTTCTGGGAATGATTCCTCAGCAATGGAATGGCTTTCAGTTTATTTGGCTGCTATTAAGGGTTGCTTTAATACAAAAGTGATTAGAGGAGCAAATCATGTTGCCAACGCAATTATCTTACTGGTGGGGCAGACTTTCCATCATGTACTAAGTACAGCATTAAAGAGAACCTGTCGGCAGACCATACATCTCAACAACAATCGTCTTATAAGGTTATATGGGCTTTTAATGTATTTTATGCATGTTATTTAGCTGTAAAAGCCTCCCTTGTATAGACATCCAAAAGTCCCGAGACTGCTGCTGGGTGCCGCCATCTTGGATGTGGTGTCAGCAGCCCCAGCACTGTCAGTTGTGACACTCTATAGTATTAACTTTTGCTTCTGCCCCAGTAGCTACATAAACGCTTTTGTAGACAGGGGTAAGGCCAGTACAAATAGCAGCTCAACACTCCCAGAAGAGCAGAGGGCTATGATGTGGAAGGAAAAGGGAGGGGGGATGGAGCTGGGACAGCACAGTGAGCAATTAGAGACCCCTAGAAAAGGAGAGTGCTATGACATGCATGAGGGAGGGGGCTGTGCTAGGGAACTATCAAACGTAATATATAGACACCGGCACTCCAATAGCAAGCCAAATACGCCTGTTTATTGACGTATGAGCAGCATGATGTGATGCACTAAATGCAACGTTTTGGGGTTTCGCAGGATCCCCTTCATCAGGCAGAGACCCCGAAGCGTCACATTAAGCGCATCACGTTATGCTGTGTATACATCAATAAACAGACGTATTTGACTTGCTATTGGAGGGCCGGTGTCTATATATTATGTTTGATATTGACCGCAATTGCCAACCGGCGACAGCCGCAGCACCCACCATCATTATCTTTGGAACAGCGGTTTTGAGTGCACTGGGTTCATGGACTTTACCCTGTTTGTGCTAGGGAACTGGCTCTTCCTGGAGTTTACTTGCAAGTTCAAAGGCACATTGCAAGTAAATACAAATAATTGATGGAAAATAAAAACACTGCAAGTAAGCCTTTAAAACACCGTTTTTTGTGATTTTACCTGCAATTGATGCAAGTGGCAAATTCTGTTCTCCACTCTATTTTCACTGTACACTAACAGTACTTAGGACAAACTGAATTCTTACTGTAATCATATTCATGGCGTGGTTACCCCAGGTTAGCATGTCAAATCAAAATGCACGTGGGAGCTCACTCTTAATGTATGTGTTGGGCGTATAAAATTGACTTGATTGTGTAAATCCAGTAACGTCTTACCTTGCATTCATCTAGAATCACATTTCTTTCAAGTAATTTGTATCCTTCAAACTTGTGGCCATTCCATCCTTTGAAGGTAAGCGGTGTGTCTCCACCTATGACCGGGGTGTTCAGGCAATGGATGGTGATGGTGTGGACAGCCTCGGAGCTCAGCAAATGGAGAAAATTCATCTGCACTTTGCCCACATCAAACTCCAGCTGGTTGGGACAGAAAATATTACTTAGGACAGAATAAAATTCATATTTATTTCCAATCGCATGCTGGTGCCCTTTTTGCTGTAATGGACCCAACTGAGTTATAATTAGGGATGCACCGATACCAAGTACAGTACTCGGTACAAGTACAGATACTTTTCGAGCTCCAAGACTAAACTAGAGAAAAATTCAAAAATTAGGAGGCAGCTGTCATTTGTAGGGAGCACACGGAGCTCCTGGGATTTGTACATATTTGTTTTAATGTACGATTTTGGTTTTTATAAATAAAGGAAATCACCGATACCAGTTTTGCGAGTACGAGTACTGGTACTTGCGCAAGTACTTACAAGTACGAGTACTGATAAATTTTTGTTTACTGTCATGTGACAGTTTTTCTAAAACAATACAGACTAATGATTTCAGGACAGTGGTGGAGCACCAGAGCCGGGTCCCAGCTGCAACCCTGGTAGTTCTCATAAAAATACCAAGTATCGGCACTGGTACTCGAAAAGTATCGGTGCATCCCTAGTTATAACCAACAGTGTTTCTGTTGCCAGTAGAACACAGGTACCCCTATTTTCTTCATACAGCAAAAAAGGACCAGCAGCCCAATCAATATATAGCTAGCACAGACATGCATGTGGATGCAGCAGTTCACTACAAGAATATACAAAATACCCCATCGCTCCCTTGAGTTGTTATATGATTCTATGAACTACTCTGTATTCTTGGATTCTATAAACTATTATATATTAATGGGATCTAACATGTTATCCTTTATACAGGTAACAGCTACTTAAATGACCCCTTCCCATATTCTCCCAGACAGCATGTCATGAAATCCTTGAAGCCCACTTGACTTCTGCCTGTTATTTTTTTTTACCTTTGCCACAGTAACTGGAGATAAACATGTCTGCCCCCCAGCCGTGAAGTTACAGAAGACCTCTATGGCATCTGATGGACATCCAAGATTCGGGTCAATCCAGTACTTTCCTGAAAAGAACACAATACATGGCTAAGAAAAAACTGTGTCTACTGTCATCAAATAATTAGGACACAAACACTGCTTATAAACCACCCATCAATGGTGTGAAGAAATGAGCAAGCTTTCTGAACCTGCTGGAAGATTTTGGCTCAGTCTATGCAATGCCGGTCAGTGGGCTACAAGCAATACAAATAATGTTCATTTTTTTTGTTTGGCCAAAAGGCCAAAAGGCAACAATTTTACCAATCACAGAAATGTTCCAACAATAAACTATTATAAGAACAGGAATGGTTGCAAGCACACATTGTCCTTCACAAGGGCACATACAGAGTACATCATTCCTGCAAGCTTGAATAGGTGCAAAGAAAGTGAATGATGCATTTCTTATAGGCATGTCCCATTTCACCCCTGCTGTCAGAAATGTGCCAATACAGGATCACTTGGAAGCCTGGACTGTAGGTAGCATGTATGCTTATTAGCTTTCTCGTGGCCCGAGTCTTATTTATATTAATACAGGTATTTACATAGCGCCAACAACTAACGCAGCACTGTACATCTTGTTCATTCGCATCAGTTCCTGCCCACAAGGAGCTTACAATCTAAGGTCCCTACCTCACATGCATACATACATACAGTAGGGTCATTTTAGACAGGAGCCAATATTCCTAAGCAAGCATAGGGAGAACATGCAAACTCCGTGCATATAGTGTCCTGGCTGTGATTCAAACTGAGGACCCCCCAGTGCTAAAGGAGTGCTAACAACTAAGCCACTGTTCCAATCATGTTAATTTGTAGCAGGTCTACATACTGTGCAGCGGTCTAAGCTATGCTGCTCTGGTGGACTTTGCAGGTAAAAAACGTTCAGATGTGTAAGTACCTGCTCCTCCTGCCACACGGAGTGGTTGTTCTCATTAGCTTTTACAACAGTACAGGACATTGGGAAAAGTGGGAGAAACCACTGAGTGCAGTGGTGAATCAGGTATTCAACACACCCAGAACTGTCAAGTACCTGCAGTACCGGGAAGCAGCAAATTGGTGGTGTTTGAAGACAAGGGAAGCCAGTAAGGTAAGTAAGTATACATGCTATTCTTCTACAGCCCAGGTGTGATCTATAAGTGACCTTGTGGTGACAGGGTCACTTTAACCATTGTGTGAAATAAGAGCAGTCCTTGGGCTGGTTTCAGAAAACAGAGATATCTATCCTAATGAGGAAACTGAATATTAAATAAATCTATTCTGTATTAAAGGGAAAATGTCTAATATATAGACCTATCCTGAGTGAGGGAGGAAACTAATAAATACAAATATCCTGTATTAGGGAGGGAACTGAATGATAAATATTCAGATAGGTCCCATATTAACATGATAGGAACAATGGGGCAGGGTTATGTCTAAAAACTTTGGGAAATCACTTAAAGGGGTGTATTCATAAATTTGCAGGGCCCTTTGCACTGCAAATATCTGTGGACATTTATTTTGGGTGAATAAAGTCAAAACGAACGTTCTTAATAAGGCTTTTCCAGTTTGATTGTATTGTCATGTAATACTACATTTTGGCCACTAGATGGAGCAGAGAAGCATAGGACATATTTTTTATGCTCTTAGGCTCCATCTAGTGGACACATTGTAGAATTACATGACAATACATTTGAACTGGTAAAAAATATATTGGGAGTTATTTGGCCAAAATGGACTTTCAAAGACATTCGCACCCCAAAGTGAATGTCCAGCCAAAACATTCTGTTTTCAGGTTTTTTTTAACGTTCACCTGATGATAATGTTGAACAAATGTACTAAAACACTTTTAGTGGTGTATTTATTAGACCAAAATGGGAAAAATATAAGAAGTTCATGGTATGGATTACACTTCAGTGAACTGGGATTTGACAAAACAGGCTTCAATACATACCATCTGACACTTTGCGTTTACAGTTGAGCAAGTCGCGACATATTCGCGCTGGATTGTCCCTGGTCCCCGGTGGGTTCTTTATACTGTGCATCAAATCTGTCAGGTAGTGGAGCGTTTTAAAGATCTCTGTGCTGAAATCTAGCACTGATACATCAGTATTCTGATAGCTCTGGTCATTCGTAGCAGTGTTGAACGGAGCATAGACAAGGGTGGGAAACATGGCAATGAGGAGTAGTGTGAGCGGACCAATCAGAAGCCAAACAGAAGAGCAGAATGAGAATAATGTACAAGAATCCGAGATAGGAGCAGTAGGTTCATTCAAGAAGCAGAAGACATTGTTGACAATAACATTTTGGGGGGAAAAAAAAGAGAAAAGAAAAATTAGAATATAAATCAAATGAAGTTGTGTACGAATCTGCAGGTTGATTTTTTACACAATTTATAATTCTTTTTTTATATATATAAATGCAGACTTTTTTCAGTTTTTTATAAGCTGCGGCATTTCATTTTTACTAACAACTGTTCAATTTTTAGATTTCCCTTCGCTACCTGTCCAGATAGCAAAAACAACCAAGAGACAAATGTAAGTGAATCTTCCAAATCCTAAACAGGGACCCAGACAGCAATAACAATCTGACAGAGATACTTACTCCTCCCCACCCCATCCAAAACTAGAAAATAAAATCTAAAGTATAGAGTGTATTCCTGTCCCAGTGACTCCTAGACACTTTCATTTTTCGCCCTGGTGTTACTGGGACAGGAAGTGGGAGGAAATTCCCTAAGGCGTTTTCGACTCTTAAAGCGCAACTAAACCTAAAATAAAAAAAACGAGAACTGAGCAATCACATACCGCTTATCACTCAGCTCACGATCCTTCCCCTGGAGAGAGTGGTGACTGTCACCACCCCCCGCAGGGATTCACCCTTCCCCTCTCCTTTCCTCCAGCGCTGACTGGAGGGACAGACGTGGAAGGGGCGGGCACAGCGTGCTCTGGCTCTAGAGAGGCAGAGCCAGCTGTCAATAAGCCAGCGGGGTGGATCCTGTCAATATAGTCAGGATCTTTCCTGACTGCAGCGTGGCTCTGTGCTACCCAATATATGCTGAGTTTTGGGTCACAGGAAGACATTGGTAAATGTCCTCTTGTGACCCAAAAGAGAACTGCGGCCAAAAATGTTTGGCCATAGTTCTCTTTTAACCAACTCTACTGAAAAAAACAACTAGTTTGGCTGGAATGGGGAATTAAAAAGTGTTTTGGTGGCACAAGTGATGAGGATGGACAAACCTCCTATCAACATGATCATCAGTCCATAAAACCCAACCCCACCTCAGAATAATACAATTTAGGAGCTAAAACAGGTTGACTTTGATGAACTTTTATATGCGTCTCCTTTATTTAAACTTAGTCAATATGTATGTAACTGGTTTCCAGTCTAATGACAGCTAGCACAGACATGCATTTGTCTCCACTCAGTAAATATGACTTTGGATAAATTATTTATAATGTAAAATGATTATACTACCACCCTACCTCCATCCGCAGTGCTGCATGGGACTCCATCAGGGCCTGAACAGCAGAATTCATATCCACCATTCTCTGTAAGGAAGAGGTAACAAAATCATTTATTAAACAATACCGTACCTGCAAAATACAAAGATACATTTATAGCACTAATAACCCTATATACCTAATCTGTTCAGAATGCTCTAAATCGAAACAATAACCTGGCATGTCCATTGGGTATGTCAAGCATCACTTTACTGGGCTGCATATGGCCCGTCTGACTCTAAAAAACCTTCTACAGATGATCATTTTCATCAATTATAAAAGTATTTCTACCGTAAGTTAAACTTAAAGCAGAACTCTAGTCAAAAATAACAATATAAAAATTAAATAACAAAAAGCAGCTTTTGCTTCAATATTCAGCTTCAAACTAGAGATTTCTCCCCTGCAGTGATTTTCGTCTTATATTCCCAGTCTAACAGCCAGTATTATTATAACATAATTTCTCTAAACCCAGGTCGTCCTGGACCCGTCTTCAATCTGTGACTAGACAGTGAAAGGAGAAGTAGCACAGTGACAAGCTCATCTCTCTCTGTCAATGCTCTGTCATGCTGATAGGAGCCTTCTGCTCCTATCAGCATGCTGCATGTCAGCACATGAACCGATATGCTGCTTGTACTGCTTCTTGCTCTCACACTCCAGGTCTGCTGCACAGGGACTGCAACAGGCTAAGACCAGGACAAGTTCAGGGACTTACACTGCGTACATTTAATGGTGCATTAATGATTACAGAGCTGCTTTCATTTATATATGTGTCTGAGATCGGTGAGGAAGAACACAGCTACAAACATTCTACAGGTAAACTGGAAGAAGACATGATGTATTCAGTATTTCTTTATTCAAATTTATGTTTTGATGTTTAGCGGTCTTTTAAACTTACAGATCGTCCTGGAGCACCCGGTGGACCCTAAAACAAGATAAGATATATGATCAAGGAAAGAATACGTATCAGAATTTAATTATTATCTAATAATAATAGTAAACAGCTTCCATATCTGGCCTTCAGTAATGACAAATGTTCAAAGTCTGACTACAGCCAATGCTTTTACCAGAGCAGAGAAAGATTAGGACCAACTCAGGTTATTTTGTTGTTGTCTGTGTCCTGCTGGGGAGATTTCCCTTCACTTCCTGTCCTAGAGAGACAAGTAAGATGAAATGTGAGGGGAATCTTCCCTCTCAGAGAGCTGTTATGGAAAAGGTGACTTTGTCCCTTTCTATGCTGGTGAATATACCGGGATTGCATTTCAGCTCAAGCCACCTAAGCCATGGCCTAGAGCGCCACTGCCACTGGGTTTTGCTACCCAGGCCTCTCGATCCCGTGCCCTGACTACTACTGTTATTTGTTTATAGGCTCTATAGCGAGATTGACGCCTTCAAATGCATTATTAGTGCAGCGTCACCAACTGTTGCTATTAATGACCATAATCACCACCACTGCAGCGCCAGGTCTTTCCTTCTAGGCCCAGCCAACTCCCAATGTGAACAGTGTACACTATAGCGCTAGGGAGAGCGGTGGGGCATTCTTTCCAGGAAGTTGGCTGCGTGTGTTGGTGGATTAGGTTCCCTACGGAATGGCCTTTCTGACTGAGGTTGGTGACATCTGCTGTAGAGAAAGAACTAAAATTCTGTCTTAGGTGACATGCTTCTGGCTGTTTCAGTATTGCACTAACACTTAATATACACAGTCAGAATTTCGTACAAATCTTCATGCAAAAAAAATCTCATCAGAACAAAATCGATAACGCCGACAAATGTAATTCAAAATTTCGCTCAATTTTAACATTTGGGTTTGGGAGGAACGGAGTTTACCAAAAGAAAAAACACATTCATTCTGGTTTCATCATTCGAGAAAAATGTTGTTGGTGTCTCTGTGGACATGTTCATGATCTTGCTATTGTTATAATACTGTAAATCTTGGTGAATTACTTTGTAATGTGTCCAGGGGGTGCCACAAGGTAGCAGGCGTAGAGAGAGAGAAAAAAAGTATAAATCTGGCCCTGGAATCTACCCAGTGGGGACACAATGGGATTTTCCGGCTCTATTTGTCCTAGTGAACCAGGACCCACTCTGTCATTTTCAGAAGGAGGCCATCTTTCCTTCAGCACAGGTTTCCTTCAAAGTGAAGATCAAACTAAAAATCACATGACTCTGGGACAAAATCTTACCTGCCACCCCCCCATTCCAGCTGCGGTTTGAGAGTCTTTATTCAAACCAAAGAGAGTTACAATGTAACTGGACGTGATGTTTTATTAGACCCCTTTCAGACGGGCTGGTCAGAAGGGGATGTACGTATATCCCCTCCTGATCGGAGCGGTATGGATCGGATGTCACTGTTGTAATGGAGGAAAAAAATTAAATGACTGGACCCCTTGTTGATCTATGAGAAATCGGATGTAAACAGACACGTCAGATTACCTACCTCCGATCTGGCACAATCAGGTCCGTTGAAACAGAACACTGATCAGTTTGTTTTTCCGGACCTGGCCGGAGTCGGGGGTAACCAAGTGTAAACGGACTACCCTCCATTTAGATCCAGCTGCCCAAAGATTAGCATTTGGCATCAAATCGGGTCCGCCTGAAAAACTGACAGTCGGACACGCGTGAAAAACTGACAGCGTGAAAGGTGCCTTAGGCCACAAGTTTCATGGTGTTAGTTCTTTGTGCAGCCCCACAGCACCTAAGAAGATTTAATGTTTTGCATTCCAAGACAAGTCTGGTGGCTTGTTGGGAGACTATACAAACAGCTCTTAGCATGCTGATCATTAGCTATATGATGCCCATTATATGGTACACTGTACTTACAGGAGGGCCTGGTTGTCCTCTTAGTCCTTGAGGTCCCTAAAAAGACAGACAGAAAACAAACATAATAATCAGCATTTGAAATGTGCATACTGTATGTAGTAAATGCATTTTTGATTACAATAGGTGTATTGTAACATTAAGCTGAACATAGGCAGATTGGGCAGCCCGAAAACTCACAATTTTTGACTGGTGACAGGTGTGTAAAATTGCATCTGCTTTTACCATCCATAGGCATTCGGAATGCACAGCAAATGCTCGCAATGTGCAAGGGGCAGCAGGAGCAGATAGACCAATACTTCAAAACACCAAAGCTGCCCTCATTTGACCTTTGATCCCGGCTGTTTAACATCCAAGAGCATGAATAGCAGCCAAAAAAGTCAGAGGAAGCCCATGCATATGATTGATTATTGACAAATAGTGTCTTAAAAAGCTGTCCCAGACTAAGGTCAAATCTTTACAAAGCTAAGAACCCGTTTCATGGACCACTATGGACTAATCATAAAAAAATCTACAATAAAGGTTATAAATAGTCTTGCAAGAAAACTTTAACAGAGCTTTGGCCCCACAAAATTATTTTATTATTAAAAAATCTTTCCTAGCAGAATTGGCCAAGTAATTGGCACAAATATTATGTGAGACAGAAGCAGAGCTAAAAGAAGTGGACACAAAATCTTAACAGGTCCTTCTCATATCTCATATAACATTCAGATGTTTAAAGCAAACTTGTAACTTGCCCATTAGGGGCAAAGTAACAGGTTACCTATCTTATGCCACCCCACCACATCATTCACCTATTAGAGTCCCACCACCATATCTTGTAGAAAGTGCCTGCTGCACACCATACAGCTTTGTTACCAGTGAAGGTAAGATTGGTGCTCGAAGTGACCAACTCGGATGGTGTAATGCAGAACCTCCAAAACGTGCTGGTGACCTATCTTCACACCAGGGGCGGACTGACCCATTGGGCAGTAGGGCGCTGCCCGAGGGCCAGTGACCAGCACGGGGCCCGTGGCCAGTCATCTGTCCTGTATCAGGCGGCAGAGGTGGCTCTCTAATTGGGCGGTCGCCTATGGCCTGGCGGCCGCCTAACTCCCCTCTGTATCCTCACCTAAGAAGTGAGCGAGCGCCGGTATGTGTTCTCTCACTTTCCGATTTATAGAGCCGACCTGTGACAGTTTCATTGTCACAGGTCGGCTCAGATTATGAGGTTGAGTGATTTTTTACTCACCTCATAGTTCTCCTTTAATGCCAGACCTCTGTCACATATAACCCATGCCATGCCACCCATACTGTGTGATAGGAAAGCAGGATTTATTGCGTTCTTTACTACTGAACTGTGCGTTCCTTACATCTGACCTCTGCACTCTGTGCGCTCCTTACATCTGACATCTGCACTCTGTGCGCTCACATCTGACCTCTGCACTCTGTGCGTTCCTTACATCTGACCTCTGCTCTGTGCGTACCTTACTTCTGACCTCTGCACTCTCTGCGTACCTTACTTCTGACCTCTGCACTCTCTGCATACCTTACTTCTGACCTCTGCTCTCTGTGCGTTCCTTACATCTGACCTCTGTGCGTTCCTTACATCTGACCTCTGTGCGTTCCTTACATCTGACCTCTGCACTCTGTGCATTTCACATCTGACCTCTGTGCATTACAATTAATAACTGACCTCTGCACTCGATGCATTCCTTACATATGACCTCTGCACTCTATGCGCTCCTTAGATCTGACCTCTGCACTCTGTCCGCTCCTTAGATCTGACCTCTGCACTCTGTCCGCTCCTCAGATCTGACCTCTGCACTCTGTCCGCTCCTTAGATCTGACCTCTGCACTCTGTCCGCTCCTTAGATCTGACCTCTGCACTCTGTCCGCTCCTTAGATCTGACCTCTGCACTCTGTCCGCTCCTTAGATCTGACCTCTGCACTCTGTCCGCTCCTTAGATCTGACCTCTGCACTCTGTGCGCTCCTTAGATCTGACCTCTGCACTCTGTGCGTTCCTTAGATCTGACCTCTGCACTCTGTGCGTTCCTTAGATCTGACCTCTGCACTCTGTGCGTTCCTTAGAGCTCCAAGATCCATGATGCATTGCAAGACTTTTGCATATGCATGGCTCCCACGGTAAGATGCATGGTGGGATTTGTAGTTTTACCACAGCTTCACACCACCACCATATTTTTCACCTATTGGAGCCCCACCACCACATCATTCACCTATTGGAACCCCATGAAATGCCCAGTGCTTCCAGGTATGGGGAAGCACTCCTGAATATGAGTGACACTCTATCCCCTGCCTCTCATGATACGGTGCTTGGTGCTTGAGCAGCTAACCGCCAGGCTCAAATACTGGGGAAGGTCCCTAGCCCTGAGTAAGCATTAGCCAGACTAACCAGAATTTGTACAGCTACCATCATGTTCCCACAATTTTAGTTCCTTCACGCAATGCCTCAGTAATGTAGGGCAGCAGAGTGGCATAGTGGTTAGCGCTTCTGCCTTGCAGCACTGGGGGTCCCCGGTTCCAATCCCGGCCAGGTCACTACCGCCAGTTTGTATATTCTCCCTGTGGGCTTGCGTGGGTTTCCTCCGGGTACCCCTTCCTCCTCCAAAGACATGCTGGAAGGTTAATTGGCTGTTCTCTAAGTGGGCCCTGCAGTTGTATGCATGTGAGATAGGGACCTTAGATTGTAAGCTCCTTGAGGGCAGGGACTGATGTAAATGTGCAACTATGTAAAGCGCTGCGTAAATTGTCAGCGCTATATAAATACCTGTAATAAATAAAATAAATATTAATCTGTTGTCTTACCATTTCCCCCCTGGAGCCCTTGTCGCCACGATTTCCCTAAAATAAATAAAAAAAAATATTATAATTCTTTAAAAACAAAGACTATTTATTATGTGTTCACTACAGATTACTTGCATGGACTCTTGGAAGACAGATGTTATTATCAACTGCAGCAACTGTATTTCTCCTATTAAAGCTACTCAGAGCTTTAAAATTGCATCCAGATTGAGCAGGTATATTAAAAAGCCCTTCCAAGCAATACATAAAACCAATGAGTGAGCTTTTAATGTATTCCTGTACCCCGTTGTGCTAAAATCAGAGTCCACTTAGTTTACCCTAATCCGAGTTCTTTATGAACCCAATGCATCCACAGTACACAACAACCACCCCACAGGGTCAGAAGGAGTCTACTTCTTGAAGCACGTGCTATGCAACTTTCTGTCTGCGTCTTTAATCACCAATCACCTTTGAATTTCCATGGCATGTTTGATTGGTGGTTAACATTAAGGTAATTCTATCACCTTCTCTATCCAGTTTCTATATATCTAGCAAAGAGGGTGTTTCAGCATCACTCGAATGTATGTGCCAGGATCACCAACAAATGGGAAATGGGTGAACTGGTGTCATTCCTCAATGCCACGATGAAAAATAGAATTATGGAACAGATAGGCTATGTTCATGTATGTATCAGGCTCACGTTTATATATGTACGACGTACTGAGCTGGCCAGCTGGAAGCACTTTTGTAGCTCCGTACGACGTACGTCCTTGGCACCGAAAGGGTTAAAATCAAAAGGATTTTAAACTATTTTAAATACTGATCAAATCACTTACAATAGAAGGTGCTTCTTGATGTTTTATTGCTTTATCTTTCTGCAGAATCAGTTGGTCTCTTGAGCAAAGGCCCTGATATCCTGTTTTAGGGTCACTCCTTTACCTTGCAGGGTCCTATAGAGTCACCCATGTGTGTGATAGTAAGCTGTGTGTGTGTCTTCACAAACAGAGACACAACAAGGTAAGCTGCAACCCTGCTGCCCACTCCTGTTTCTAAGCCAGGGTGTCAAACTCAGTTTAATCGTGGGCCGCATCAACATTATGGTTGCCCTCAAAGGTATCTGTAAGACTATATAAATGTATCTAATCTTTATCACAATTGCCTCGGCATTCAATTATCACTGGTTTTAGTAATAACTTAATACCTAGATCTGAAATTAGAAGTCTAGGAAATGGCCTGGTGGGCCGGATTCGGTCCCTGGGCCTTGAGTTTGACACATGTGCTCTAAGCTAATAAATAAACAACTGCTATAGACTGATCTGTCCCCTATGATCTTGTACTGGACAGGAAGTTCAGGAAAGCCAAGCTGAGAGAGTTGGAACTGTTCTGAAACATGATGACTGTAGGTGCTTGGGCAAAAATGTAATCAAATTGCTGGGCAATGTATATTTGTTTAATCTGAACTAGGGATGCACCGATACCACTTTTTTTAAGACCGAGTACGAGTACCGATACTTTTGATCAAGTACTCGCAGATACCAATTACCGATACTTTTTCTTAAAGGGACAGGTCAATTTTTTTCTAAAGCAATACAAACTAATGCTTTAAGGTCACTTTCTTAATATTATGATTAATGAGATGACGAGGGAGCCTGACGCCGGCTTCCCGGCCAATCAGAATGCTGGGCGCTGCGTCATTACACGCTACCCAGCTTCCTGATTGGCCGGGAAGTCGGCTCCATGCTCTCTCATCACAAGTGACGAGAGAGCATGGAGCCGTTTCCTGGCCAATCAGGAAACCGGGCAGTGTGTAATGATGCGCTGCCCGGCTTTCTGATACCGGAAGTACTCGTGCTAGGTATCGGAGCATTTGGGCGAGTACGAGTACTCACCCAAATATTCGGTATCGGCACCGATACCGATACTAGTATCGGTGCATCCCTAATCTGAACTCATAGTTGATACAAAAAAAGTTTGAGTGTTTAATAATTAACTTTAAGTGCAAGTGTACATTTAACAACAGACTATGAATGTGTATAAGCCTGATGTGTAAATTTAGTAAAATAATAATTTCATCAGCATTGTGAAGGAATATGTATGTAACGCATTTTAAATAAAATATTACTTTTATTCCATCTTTGCACCATCATATAATCTATCCAGAAGCGCAGTAGTCTACCACAGGTGAAAAATATCAATAGCAATGTGTGAATCTGAAACTACTGGGAAACATCTCGGAATATCTGAACAGCAACTATTGTGATGGAAGACATGAGTATGTTTAGGCTGCGCTCTCTGGGTGAGATACTGTGCCAAATAGGCACGCTCTGTACTTAGCTACTGAAATATTCCACATTATCAGGGAAACACTCAATATTGTATATACACAATTATGTGTATACACAGACATGTATTGTCCTCCTTGCTATATTACTTTATCATAATAGAATCTTGTTTAACATTTTAAGCATTCCGCACTTGAAATATTTGGGTTTATTCTGAAATAAAACATGTTTGCTGCAATAAATTGTTTAAAGCTGAATTCCAGACAAACAGCAAAAAGGCACAAAAAAAATGAGATACATATTGATTTGTATTTCTGTCTATCCAGTCCTGACATTTACACAACTCTTTCACACAGCACGGTTATAAATTGAAGTGCCTCACTCCGTTTAACAGTCCAGATGCATCCTAATTCAATATGGGGTTGAGGGAGCAGTATAGAAATAGTCAATGTGTTTTGGGGACTATCGAAGGGCAAACTTATATCAGAACTGTAATGGCTTGAAATTGGATACAGTTTTGTCCAGTGTGTGAAAATGCAGTGGCGTCACAAGGGGGGTGTGGCCCGCACCCGGACGCCACCATTGGAGCAGTGACACCAAAATTAGTTGACAGTCATTTTGGTGTCACCCCCTCTGAAAAGTCAGGCACTTGGTCATTGACCGAGAGCACGAAAGTGTCAGGAGAGAGGAGGGGAGCCAGCTGCATACCTCATCTTGGCGGGTGAACGTCCCCTCCTCTCTCTGCCAGCGTCCATCACCAAGATGGCTGCCGGCAGGCGTCAATAAGATGACCGCACATGCGCGATGACGTCATTGTGCACACGCGTGGCGACGTCACGGCAGGGCGACACCTGGCCTCGGGATGCCACTGTGAGAATGCACAGAGCTCTTTAGTGGCTGAGTTGGCTACAATTGAACGGAGTGCGACACTTCAATTCACAATCCTGCGATTTGACTGCACTAAGCAATGAGACGATGGAGATCCTGCGGAATGTACAAGCTGCTTGTCTGGTAGTCCGATCACCTATATCGACTTTCACATCTTAATTGACCAGCCACACCGATAGGACAAACCTTGCAGGTCCAGCACTCTTTTTCTACTTCTTTCCATTACTCTCACACAGAACAGTCAGGTGGATGACACCACATACAGTTAAATAATACAGCAGGGTCCTCTCTTAACTTTCATTGGACATAGAACAGAGCAGCAGCAGCAGACTGATGATATCATCCCTCTGCTCATTCTGCTCTCTCCTCTTTTCAGCATGTTCCTTGTTAACACATTTGCATGCGGCACATCTGATTGGTTGTCAGGGGATTGCTAGAAGCTTATATCAAATCGAACTTAGGTTCTTACATTAGTTGCATTTATAAGAAATTCACAGAGTGAATACAGAGCTGCATTTCTGTGTGTCTTTTATATCTGAGTTTGGCTTTTACAAAAAAGGAAATGGTAACTATTTTATATTAAAACACATTAATAGTTTACTTTCTATACCTGTGCACAGTGAGAATTTAAAGGACTGTCAATTCTTCCAGTGTGGGTTAGAAAAAAAAGTAAAAGCAGGGCCGTGATTAATGGCAAAGAAACGACACAGTAAGATCCAATATCATATTCTTATAACTGCATGCTACCCACATTTATATGGAATACAGATAATGCTGGATAGTGCGATACTCACCAGATTACCTGTAGGTCCAATTATACCACCAGGGCCTCTTGGACCTCTGTTCCCCTGTACAAAATCCAAAAAAATACATCAAAATAATAAACCAATAAGAGATAAGTGAATATACATTCTAAGCTTTCATATCCAAGTCCTCAATGTTATCAGGTAACCTGCAAACAAGATGTGCAGGATTCTACAGATCTCCTGCATTCCGCCTCCCTTGTCAACTCCTCCCATACTCTTTACCCCAACCTGTCCATCTATCTCCCACTGCCTTTAGGCGATCCCTTAAGACTCTTCTCTTCAGGGAAGCCTATCCCACCTAAACCTAACCACGGAACCATCACATTCTCAAACAATTTATCTCCACACAGCTACCTCCTCAGGTATCACTGGCCCCTCCCTCTTAGATTGCAAGCCCTCAGGGGCATGGCCCTCCTTACCATCTTGTCTTGAATTGTATTGTGATTGTAATATCTTCCTTATATTGTAAAACGCTGCGCAAACTGTTGGCGCTCTATAAATCCTGTATAATAATGCAGAAGGAGAAATAATATGTTCCACTTACAATTTGCCCTGAAGGACCTTTGGGACCAATAATGCCAACTAGACCGATGTCACCATCTGGGCCCTGAAAATATGAGTCATAAAGTTCCATGAATATAAAATTAAACACACAAAACTTCATATACAGAAGAAATAAGAAGCAGTATAAACATTCCTAATGACACGGCTTCACTGCTTGGAGGAGAAATTGCCCAAAGCGAACAAACAGAATTCTTGTTTCATTTTGTGATAAGATGGAATGTGAAATCTCGTTGCTTGCTACTGGCATTGCTCAAAAAGAAAAAGCAAGACAATCAGCCGAGAGGTCCTGACCGTGATTTAATATGCACGCAGTGATTGGCCACGGTCTCAATGGTAAGCCAACATCTACGGCAAGCTATTGTCTTGTAAAGTCTTTTTAGACAAACATGTGAAAGTGCGTTATGTACTTTGTGTTTGAAAAGCCGACGTATGTTGGTTGAGGTTGCCGTATAAGATTTCAGAGAATATGCCCTCTGTGACTTTAACGGGGCAATAACTTTTTTGGGCCTAGTTCCTTCCCCACAGCTTTTCCCATTCGCTCAGTCTACCCGTAACCATAACCTTTTATATGTATGCCCTGTATGTCCCACCCTTAAAGAAGAACTCCTTTTATTAACCCTTGCAGTGAGGCAACCCCATGCACTGCAAGCGTTAACTGCTCTTTGTGTCTAGGGGGAAAATACAAAAGTTATACTGACCCGATCCTTGGAGTCAGCTTGCTCTAAGGTCGGTCATTTTAGCCTTGGTCCCCCTCCGCTTGAGTCATTCTATTCTATACACAGTGTATAGGACGCGGAGGGACATACCATGGCTGCAGAGGAGACAGGCTGGAGCGAGCGCTGTCACAGCCGGCCATCTCTGAAGATCAGGCGAGTACAACTTTGTTATTTTCCTCCCTAGACCAAAACGAGCAGTTAACCCTTGCAGTGCAGGGGTAGCCCAAACGCAAGGGTTAATAAAAGTTTTGCCCAGAGTTTTGCTTTAAGTGGTGTCTTATGGTGGGGAAAATGAAGACTCTATAGTGGACTGGTGTATTTTTTTGCTCATTAACATACAAGCATTGATAAACTCAACTGCAAAGTCTACACGAGGACATCCTTGTAACATTTACATGCACATGCATCATGTATTCCCATATCGAATACCTTGTACAGTATTATAACTACTTGTTTAATACAGGTTATATCTCTGTTCTTGATGACTGCACTTTGTAAATGCTGCAATTTTTCAGTTTTTCCTTGATCTCTTTTGAAATCTTTTAATAATAAAAACTCAATAACAAAGGATCTGATTGAAAAAATATGAAACCGTGAAAGCGATTAGCTCAAAAAGTAATCTTTTCTGTGTGTTAAAGCTTATGTGAAATTTGTGATTACAAAGCAGGCTATCACATCTGATCTACTTCTATGTATTTGGAACGACCCTTTAAATTGTAAGAAAAAGCTGCCATTCACCCTAAAAAAATAGTTTTATCTTGAGGTCCCGTGACTGCAAGAGCTCCCCTACAATCCCTCTTCTGTATGGTTGAAAAAAAAGCCAGTGCCATGATATAGAGGGTGCTGCAGTCCAAATAGCTTTGACTGGGCGGGGGCGTGTCAGCTTGGTGCATTACAGCTAGATAGGGGCATGTAATTCAAGCGGACTATGAAATGACAGGCACACCATGTGACGGCATTGCATCCTGTGGGTCTAACATGAAGATAAAGCGACACAAACTGACCACACTTAGCAATAATACAGTATACAAGTAAAAGGAACTAGTTTACTGATTATGAGGGACAGAGGAATGTAGTGTCAAAGTATTTCTATTATTAGTTACATGCACTTAAATGTTTTAAAACCTTGTTTCTTTGTTTGTACATGTGTACATAGAAGCAGCCATATTTGCTCATTACATATGAAGTCTCTGCTTCCTATTTTTTCGTGCAGCACAATGGCTGTACCGTACTGTTCATAAAGGTGGCCATACACTTTACAACCATCGCAAGACTTTAGTCTTGCGATGGTTGTAATTTAAAAAACGTACGATCTGGCCATCTTGGACAGGCAGATCGTAATTGCGATCATCGAAAGCCTGCCCCCCTGAGGGGCGGGCTTCCGATGACCGCAATGCTGAACGGGCAGTGTGCGCGTGTGCACACCGGCCCGTTCGGCATTTGTCTCCCAAGCATCATTCAAACCAGCTTAAAATCGTAACATTTTCGGCTGGTTTTCTAGCATGCTCCTTAGACAAAAGACGTGCGACCGTACAGTAGAAACGGTCGCACGTCTTCATTCGCACGATTCTTGTACGATCGCGGGATTTCCCGCGATTCCCGTACGAGAATCGTGCAGTGTATGGGCACCTTTACTCTCAATTTTGGATTCATTCAGGTCTGACTCATGTAAAACCATGTACTCCCTATTTGGCTGACATAATTGGACTGATTTACTAAAAGCATTAGAACTCTTCACTTAGGTGTGACTGTGAATATTCACTTTGATTATCCAATCAGGTGAAAAACATCTGTACTGTATAAGCAATGAAGCGGCTAAGTGATGATGTGATAAGATGTAGAAAAGTCTGTTTTTGGGGCTTATTGCAAAATCAGTAAAAAAAATTTGATCGATAAAAAAGCACTGGAAACAAGCCAAGCACAAAGTGATATTTAGCCATACCTTTGGTCCTGGAAAACCTTGAAAACCCATCAAGCCTTGGTCACCGTCTTCTCCCTATAAAACCACAATTTTTCACATTTAAGTATAGTGATATCATTAATATTTTTTGCATGTGTAAAGGCTTGCTTAAGTCCCCAGCCTAAAAGCACTAGCAACCTGAACGAGTCTTTACACTTTCATGTTTTACTTAAGTCCAAACAGAATGTGGTCCAGTTATCTACGACTGTGGCACTCTCATCACTCTACTGTATTATGAACCTTGTCCCAAGGACCTACCCGGGCTCACCTGTTCATAAGGAGTTGCCTTAATCTTTAAACTACAACACCTATAAAGATGAGGGCCCTAGAGCTCCGCCAACACTTGTCCATATTAATAATACTGTAACAGTCAAATAAGCTACACTTACAGGAAGACCCTTCAAGCCAGGCTCGCTCTTCTGCCCTTGATCCCCTTGAGCTCCAGGGAGACCTCTTGAGCCTGGCTTTCCTGGATGACCACGCAGTCCATGCTCACCCTGAAAAGGTAAGAAGGAAGGAGATATATTTTCTTGTGTTTAAACTTTATTCACAAAGTTTGTGAAAGTACACAAAACAGCAAGCCATGAAAATAGTAAGCAGACAAGCATACTCTGTCCATTGGGATATTATTATTATTACATAGTATTTATATAGCGCCAACAGTTTGCGCAGCGCTTTACAATGTAAGGAAGACATTACAATACAATTCAAAACAGGATGGTAAGGAGGTCCCTGCCCCTGAGGGCTTACAATCTGAAAGAGGAGGGGGAAATGATACATGAGGAGGTAGCTGTGTGGCCATGAAAATAGTTAGCAGACAAGCATACTCTGTCCATTGGGATATGACAATGGTGTGCACATCCCAGAATAAATGCATGGAAGAAGTGAAAGAATAACTCTGTTCTCCTCATGTAAGGCAAGGTGTGGTTATACATGAAGCATAGGCACTCATGTGTATGACTAGAAATAAAGATAGAGGGAGCATCAAATGTAAATATTAGCAGATTAAGCCATGTTAGGACCTGTGTTGATGGCCTTTGGGCTCTATGGCATCAGTTTGACATCAGTATAATATGCCTCTGAGATCATTTAGAATTCATTGACAGTTGCAGTTGACCAGTAGTTGACCTCCTTTTGACTTGCATTTGACCTGCTTCAAGTGGGCTTTGCATAGACTTGTATGGAAATGCAAAATGTTCTAGATGAGAACAAAAGACCATCAACACAGGCACTCATCTCAATGGACCCAAAGGCCTGCACACTAGGTTGCTGTAATGATTAAATATTAAGGGGACAGCTACCAGCTATATCTGGTACCTCATTTATAGCACATAAATTAAACGAGACCTGTAGTAAAGTAGTAAGGGCATTACCACTTGCTAACTACCCTCTGTGAAAATACTAGTTTCCCTGGCTGTAATATTGATGCAAAGACTTCAGTACGCCTTGAATCAATGGGGTTGATTTAGTAGAGCAATTAGAGTGTGTTCACTTTCAAAAGTGAATTTTTGCTTAGCTCACTAAATGTGGCAAAAAAATGCTTTGTTAAGAAAACATACTTATGTGTAAAGAACATAAGAAAAACAGGATTTTTGCTTGCACATGATTGGATGACTAAAGTCAACAAAGCTTTGCGTCATCTACTAAACTAAGTGAAAATTCACCTTGCAAAGTGAAAAATCCCTTTGCAAGTCAACAGCCTATACCGCTTTAGCAAACCAACCCCATTAACTCAGAACAACCACGCAGATCAGGTTTTCTGACTTCACTCAGACTTTTCTGATCTGCATACTCGCTACAGGTCGATGACTGAGAAAGTACTGAAGCCAAAGACTGCCAGGCAGCTAGCGTTTTCAGGTGGAGGACAGCAATAGCAGCCCCATTTTTCTCTTAGCACAGGTTTCCGTAAACGCTTTAACATTGGGAATCAGATATAAATGAGGAGGTTGCTGTAAGTGAAAAACACCACTGTATATAAGAAATATTAATGGTCATCGTTGGTCTTCATGGTTAAAGCCCAATTCCGGAAACCTTCTTTTGTAGACCTTTCACACCATGCATGATTTTTAGCTCTTCCTTTGTTTTTTCTATACCTGTATTGTCCGGCATAAACTACGTTTGGCTGCTTTATAAATTTATTTATTTGTTACACATTCCCATTCCAAGGTATAACTTAAAAACATATGTCAAAATCACTGCTTCCATTTAACTTGCTCTTTTCTGAAAACTCCATAGCTGAATTTTCCTCTATTTTGCAAGGAGGCTGGGGAGTTATGTTCACCAAAAGTAACCCTGTACAGTGCTGGCAGATCTCAGGATCAGTTGTAAACTAGATATGAACTTTGAACAAAAGGGTTAAACTCTGAAACAAAGTGTTAAAGATCTAGAAGCTTGGCTTATGCATTGTATGACTTTGATTAGAGTAGTTTGCAGTCTGCCCAAAGACCTGCTTCATGGAAACATCTAAAAGGTAAGAAATAATTTTTTACATTATTTTTAGATACGCTGTATCTAAAAGCAGATAGCAGGTATAGTGTTTTTTTTTACATTTGACTGTAAGAGTGGAAATACACTTTAACCGTCCTTGATTGTGACAGATTAAGTGTCGGGGACTACCATGTACCTTCCTGATGCACAGGTTCCTTCCACTGACAACAAGAGTTGTTACAAAAGTTACAGTTTATTTAATGGAGAACTATGGGGTCAGTGTTTTTCCCCATAGTTCTCCTTAGGGTAACGGGAGGACACAAACTAGCGTCCTCCCGTTACCCTAAGCTCAGTATACCAGAGACGTCGCAGCCGGAGCGCATCCCGACTTAGATGACGGGATCTGCCCAGCTGCGTGAGTGACAGCTGGCTCTGCCTATCTAGAGGCAGAGCCAGCTGTACCCGCCCCCTCCCCCGTCCGTTCCGCCAGTCAGCGCTGGCAGATCGGAGCGGGGAGAGGGGAATCGAGCCCCTCCCCCTGTCACGGCAGAGAGCCGTGACAGGATGGAGAGGTGAGCGAACCCGGTATGTGTTCGCTCACCTCCCGATCTACTGAGCCGACCTGTGACAGTCTCATTGTCACAGGTCGGCTAGAACTATGAGGCGAGTGAAAAGCACTCACCTCATAGTTCTCCTTTAACTGAAACTGTATGTCCTCATTCACACGGACGTGCACAGCCATACAGCGTGCAGATCAGAGCAGAGACATGCTCGGGAGGGACAGGTACTGTGTGTAGCAGCACGCACTGGGATACAGACAGTGCTAATGCAATCATTAAACGGACACTGACACATTACAATCCTGGTAATTGGAAATCAAAGGATCAATATAATACCAATGTAATCTTGTACCCCGCAGATGAAATATACATGCAGAATATTTTATTACCTTAGGTCCTGGTGCCCCTGTGCTGCCTGAGATGCCAAAGGTGCCTTTTTCCCCCTGTCGACCAGGTAATCCAGCAAGTCCAGGAAGCCCTTGACTACCCTTTTCACCCTGCAGAAATGAATGTTCAGAAACACGATTGGTTACTTAAACTGAATGATGCCCAATCATGACACCATAATGTACAGTATATCCTGGTAAACGTGCAGTTCTTAGCTGTGATCACAAATGTCTGATACAGATCAGTCTCTGCTGCAGGCTCTCACTTTGTGACCTGCTTTAAAGTTACAGTATTGCAGTCTGATCACTGCCTGCAGCAGACTGATTACATCATCTCAGTCTAGGCAAAGTCACTGGACTGGAGTTGAACGCCTGCTTTTTAATAACAATAGGTAGAGCTTTTCTGAAAAATGATGGTGTTATTGTGCAGACATCTCAACTCTCCCGGATGTTCCGGGAGTCTCCAGCCATTAGATAGAAAAAGTTTCTCCAAAAAAGGTTTACTCTGCTTTATCTAGCAGATAAAACCTTTCCGTGCTGTGTTTTTTTTCTTTTCTGACATCGGGGCCGCTATCTGCTACTGCATTTCAATATGCAATAGCAGACTAGCTATTGCACCCCACAACTGCTGCTGTCATCAGCAGAGGTGGACCTGAAGTTCTCCATCAGGTCCACTTCTGCTGACTGACAGCAGCAGAGGGCGGGTGCAATAGCCAGCTTGCTATTGGCTATTGCAAATTGAAATAGCCAATAGCAATCTAGCTATTAGTTCCTATGCTGTTTTTTTTTTCCTGACGGCCTTCCCTGAAATGAGAAGGGCACCTCACTGAAATGACTTATTTCAGGTTGGGATCCTTGTATTGTGGCGTGTCATAAATGTGTCCATGCAAATTTGTAGTTGCTGAAAGGTCGACTTTAGTGCGAACTGGACAGAGATGATGCAAAATAACAGTACTGATCACTGAGCCGCCATGCTGCCTGCAGTGTTTCTAAAGCGGAGGTAGAGGGTGGACACAGACGCCTCTGCTCTTTTTAACTCAGAACAGAACTGAACTCAACTACTGTGACTGAATGACTAAAGTCAACTCAAACACTTCTTGAAAATTTGAATTAGAAATAGTCATATGGAGCAACAGCATACAGCTGCATGTCTCGTACAGATGTGCTGGCAAAGCTGTTAATACAACTCAGGTTTCCCTTTTATTTTTCAAAAGCTCCAGTTTGGGATTAATTTGGCCTTGTAAGGCTCGCGTTGCAACAAACAATGAAATGGACAGGAAGAAGAAAAAGTAAAAAACTTTTTCCGATCGTATATTTTTTTTATGGCTACATCAAACAAGTAAAACATTAAAGAAGACTCAAATGTATCTGATATTGTTATATACGCATAACATATGAACGACCTACGTCAGTGTATAGAGACAATAAACTCACGCTAAGCAAAAGCATGTTTTTATGTCTCTAGTTACAGTCAAGGATGTAAAGATTAAATAGACATTTCACAGCTCTTGTAACAGATATTAGAAGGATAAGATTTGCTACTTCATTTCCTTTCAGAAATACTCAAAAACAATATGGGGATGAGGGTGGATGCCCCGGGTTGGTTCAGCCCGTAGGTTGAACAAAGAAAATATAGGCGTGTATACCCGACATAAATTAGATAGAGACTGGGAACTGTCATTATAGTCTCTTTACCAATCAATGCTTCCACTACTGAGTGCTGGGGTCTTCAAAGGGCCGCACAGCAAATTCTAAGGGGCCACATATGGTCCTTGGGTCTCAGGATGGGCATCAGGGACCTAACATAACCCTACGGTGATCTAAGAAAACCCCAACAACCCTCCCTATTAAAATAAAAAGAAGAAAAGCTGTTTTTTGGTCATTGTGGATATTTTTACATTTCTGGGTCATTTGATATTTTTAAAAATATCTCGAAATAATTCCAGAATAAAAAGTGTTAGGAACGTCTGGCCTTAACACTTAAAGTAGCACTAAATGCTATTTGTTTTTTACCTTAATGCATTCTCTGCATTATGGTAAAAAACGCCCCACTACCTTTGCATGCCCCCCCACCTCCAAACACTTACCTACACGCCATGTTCACAGCCGCCGGCTACCAGACGATCTGTGCTGCGTCCTGAAGTTCCAGGTTGAGAGGAGGGATTCCAAGCCTACAGAGAGTAGGGCAGCGATAGGCTGCTGCACCTATCAAGATAATGTGAGGAGGGAGGAGGCAGGAACAGGGGCGTGGCTTGTCGAGTGCAGTGTGTGTCAATGGACGCACACAGCACAGCTCATTCCCGGCCGGGAGTGCGCACGCACGGGTGTCTCCTTTGCAACCAGAGGGGAGGGGGCTGCGGTACATCAGTTTAAAAAAAATATATGAAATGACCCCCCCAAAAAAACCAGCTACACAGTACAAGTGGATCTCCTCTGGAGGATAAAAAAAAGAGGGTTTAATATAACTTTAAACCCACGTACAGCCAACTTAAAATTTTACCTAAACCCTAAAATTAACCTTTTACACCTAACCTCCCAGGTAACACTTACAGTTAACCTCTAATCTAATCTGAAAATTTAACACTTAGCTAGACTCTAACACTTACCCAAAAAATGTATGATCAATGACTATTCAGGAAAATGGTGCCTCTTTAAATTGCCACCTACAGGTATAGGCCTACTTTGCCCAAAGATATATCCAGCCCTATCCTAACACTAGTCCCTAACCTAACACTATTTTAGCCTTTGAATGCTTCATACATAACCTTCTCCTAACACTGAACTAACCTTAATGTGTGTCGAAACCCCAAAATGTGATACATTGTCCCTTTGTTTTTTTCCTGGTGAACCTGGCAGTAACGCACTTCAAGTCCTAGGATGACAACACATACTCAATGTTGTATATCAATGGAAGACCACTGTTGTCACCATAGGTTGCTTACTTCTAATTTGAACTATAGAGGAGGTGTTCTGTAATTCTCAAAAATGAACAAAACCCTGTGACAAACCTATGCAGTTGTATTTTACAGCACTGATATCTTGGTGGCAACACAAATTGATGCCAGACCAAATATTCAGTGCAATAGATAAGGGTGAAAGGGCATCAAAGATACTGATTGATCTGTAATTATAATTTGAAGCAAACACGTGCTTAGCTCATGCAAGTCTGACCTGGAGGTCACACCAACCTGTTCTTTGCTACCCTTCCATATTTCCGGGTATGGGCATCATGTAACTCACCCGCTCCTTCTGACATGACAGTGTTTGCCATTGGCAATAATTTGCTCAGTCACCCAGTACTGTTAGATGAGGGCAAAGTGAGAGTCTAAGCCCGATGTAAGCTTCATATCATGATTTGGAACTTACACAGGGCTTCCTCTCCTCACTCCCAATGGCCAAACAATGCAGAGGCAGAGTAAAGGGAAGGGGAGTATAAGCTGCTATTGGGGCTTGCATGGGCAAAGCACATGTTCACTTTAACAATTCAATCTTGAGCTGCAAAGCTTGTCATTATGCAAATGAGCCTATCTTTTAAACCAAAAAGCCTGTTTTGCCGAAGGATCGTGTGCAGTCAGTGTCAGCCATGTTGTGTGCTCTGCATCATCATGACTGCCGCATGAAGCACAACCAAGAAATATCCTATTGGTTTAAAAAGGAGCAGAACTAACCACACACAACTCCACAGAATTGTTAAAGACACAAAAACCCAAAACAAATATGCTTTTTAATTGAAATGATGGTTATGTTTCTGAGATTATTTTATGATTCTGCTATTTCATCAGTTTAGATGCAATCAGGGTTTATCAGATTGGTCCACTTTATACACACATGTCACTAGGTATGAATACTCACAGGTAGTCCAGGTTTTCCAGGTAGTCCAGGTTTTCCAGGGAATCCGATCACAGAGTCAGAGCCAGGGAAACCTTCTGCACCCCTCAGTCCTGGTGGACCTTGTTTTCCCTAAATACAAATGTATCATCTTAACAAAAAGAGAGAGTAGATCTCTGTAGCAAAACAAAGTTTAAGCTTTAGATACACTTTAACCACTTGCTGTCCGGAGCATTGTCTTACTATTTGCGCACATTACATTTTTGGCTAGAAAACAGCTTCAAACCCCCAAACAATGATATATGTTCTGAAAGCTGAGGCCCTGTAGAATAAAAGAAATGCAAGTTGCAATTTTTTATTTCGCACAGTATTTGCGCAAATGTTTATCAAACCAGTATTTTTAGAATAAAATAAACTAAATAAAAATTTAGTGCACAGAAACAGAATATAATACCCAATTATTTGGTAAAATACGAAAGATGGGGTGACGTCGGGTAAATAGATACCAAACATGTCAAAAAACTTCAATACCCAAAATTTCCCATAGGGAAAACTTTAAACGCTTTTACCGCTCATCAGTTTAGTGCTAACAGTGATTAATGGCTCTAGAACCATTGCTCTCACTCCGACATTTGCGGCGATATGTAACATGTGTAGCGCAATTTTCGTTTTTCCGCATTTAGGTGCACTGATGCGTGCACCTAATGTCACCTAGGGACCCCAAAGAAGCTGAGGAAGCAGACATCTGCTTCCCCAGCTTCTTCTCCTGGCTCTAAGAGCCGGAGAATGTAAATAGTGACACCGAAAGTGATGTGTATTACAGTCCAGTGATCAGAGGAGAGATCAGCGACTGGAAGCCGCTGAATCTCTCTCGATCTTTGCGCCTAGTCGGTCCCGGGCGTACCCCGGGGACACCTTTTAGATTTTTATTTGGAGCAGGCAACCTGGCCATGTTCATGTTACAGCAGGGGCAGGCAACTTTGGCATTCCAGCTGTTGTGGAACTACAAGTTCAATGAGGCATTGCAAGACTTACAGGCATGGCTCCCAGAGACAGAGGCTTGATGGAAATTGCAGTTTCCCCCACACCTGGAGTGCCTACCTCTTAATATGGTCAGGAAGGTAGCCTTTAAGTTATGGGAACATGTACCAAATATAAAGTAGGTGTTATCTCAATTTGGCTGGAAAATTTTAAATACACTGTAAACATTCAATGATCTGTGGTTGAGCAATTGACTATTAGCTGTGTCTTGGGCTGCAAGATAGCCCTCTTTGGTAACTACCCATGTTATCCAATGCTGCTGTGGAACACTATGTGGCACCAATGATTTGTAGTTGCACAGACTATATCCAGCTAACACAGGAAATCTGTAGCCAGCTACAAATCACAGAAAATAATCAGAGAGCCTTTGCTACAAAATCACTGATCTGACAAAGACGAGAGAGCATTACATCCTGTAGGAAGTCGTCTACCTGCTTCCCAAAGGCTTCTGCTGGTGGACCTGCCCATATAAGATGAAAGAATGTACTAATAATCATACAGATAAATCACATGCACTTTGGAGGCTGCTGGAAAAGTCTATGAAGCAGAGAACATCTGGCTTTAATATAACATCTTCCTGCTGGGACTGCGCACAGCCTTGTGGTATCACAGCTGATAATAAATGGGGGATCAAGCATGGATGAATGCAAATGAATCTAAAGCTCGGACATCTTCTACTGTAAAATACCAAAGCTACTTACGGGAATTCCAGGCTTGCCAGGTGGCCCTCTCACTCCTAACTTTCCCTTAATGCCCTGAAATATAAATGTTTATAAAGTTAAGTCAACCAAAGATTCACACCTTATAAATCATACGAAAAGGCTCAACACGGAAGAGAGCACTCTGTACAGAGTAAGAGGGACTGAAGTCAATTGGTGGCAAGTAAACTATAAAATAACGTACTGTAGCTATAGAGTGCCAAAGTATTAAAGGCTCAGTAAAAGGATTTCTATGGTCAGAAAAGAAAAACAAATATGTATTTTTATATTGAATTTCCATAAGTTCTATCCATCTCCTAAAAACCATATCCATCTAGAACAGGGGTGTCATACTCAATGTCATCACGGGTTACATAGTTACATAGTATTTGAGGTTGAATAAAGACATAAGTCCATCAAGTCCAACCTGTTGTGTGTGTGTATAGGTCCATGAGTGTTCTCATTCTTAAGAGTACCTGTCCCCTTATACATTTCGGTCTCTCAGGAAGTCATCCAAAAGCTTCTTAAATGATTCCAGATGAATTGCGGAAATTAACGCTTGAGGCAGTGAGTTCCAGACCCTAACCGCGCAAACTGAGAAGAACCCCCTTCGCCCCTTGTGTTCAAATTTTTTTTCTACCAGTTTGAGGTGGTGTCCTCTAGTCGTTGTTACGGAATTAATCTCAAAGAGTTTGTTGCTAATGTTGCTATGACTATGGAACATTTTGTACATGAAAATCATGTCCCCCCTTAATCTCCTTACTTCCAACGTAAACATGTTTAAATTTAGTAGCCGTGTCTCATAGCTCTGGTCCTCCATCCCCTTTATTAGTTTGGTCGCCCTCCGCTGGACTTTCTCCAGTTAAGGGTTGCATGAGCATTATGTTTGCCCTCAAAAGGGACAGTTGTAACTGTAAGATTATATATTTGTATCTACTCATTATCATATTAAATAATTGCCTCTGCATTCGATTATTACTGGTTTTAGTAATAACTTAATAACTAGCCCTGAAAGTAGAAGCCTAGGAAAAATAATGCCAATTAGTGTAATAGTGCAGCCTCTCAGGGGGCTGTACAGGTTCTATGTTGGGCTCTGCGGACTCTCAGGTGGGTTGTGCACAGTACCAGGTGGGCTATGTGGTGTCTATGGTGGGCTGTGGGGACTCAGGTGGCTGTGCAGGTTCTATGGTGGGCTGTGCAGACTCTCAGGTGGCTGTGCAGGTTCCTTGGTGGGCTGTACGGACTCTCAGGTGGCTGTGCAGGTTCTATGGTGGGCTGTGCGGCCTCTCAGGTGGCTGTGTGGTATCTATGCTGGGCTGTGCGGATTCTCAGGTGGATTGTGCGGGGTCTAAGCTGGGCTGTGTGGTCTCCCAGGTGGCTGTACAGGGTCTATGTTGGGATGTACAGACTCTCAAATGGGCTCTGTGGGGTTTATACTGGGCTGTGCGGGTCTATAGGTGGCTGTGCGTGTTTAATGGTGGGCTGTCCTTACTCTTAGGTGGCTGTGTGGGCACTGTCCTGGGCGGTGCGGGGCCTATGCTGGGTCTATGCTGGGCTGTGCGGTCTCACCAGTCAAAAACAACTCTAATATGTATTCCTATTACAATGCTGATGTTATAACAGGAGAGGATATGCTTGGACTTTACAACTTATTTAAAGTAGATGCTGGTAAGGTTTAGTCATCTATTGCCCTGAAGCCCCACTCACTGTTGGGTTTTTAATTATGTATTACACAGCAAGATTGTTGAGACTCTTTTTGCAGCAACAGACGATGTGAGAGTTGATTATTTGGGCAGCAAAGACAAACTATGGCAGATCTCAACAATGGAATTTCCAGGATGTATAATAATATACTTACCAGTCCTGAAATAGAAAGAGTCTGCATTCGTTTTCAGTTTCAGACCTCTTATGCTCTTATTTTACCTTTCATTAGAAAGATTTAATCTCACTTCCTGTCCTTGAGACAACACGAAGTTAAAGGAAATCTACCCCTAGGATGGAAAATTCACTCTTGTAAGAGTGATCATGGGAAAAAGGTGTCTCCACTGAGGCTTTATCACCAATCCTTGTTTCCACGACAACCCAAAATGTTCAAAATCCAATTGTCTCAGGGACAGAAAGTGAGGTAATATCTTCTGAACAGGGGCACACACAGCAAAACAAACTTTACAGGGGGTAAACCCTTTTGCTATCCAAAACAAACATAAAACATTTTTGGCTGGAGTAACACTTAAAACATTTACCTGTTCCAACTTAAATACAAATTCAACTTAAGAACAAACCTACAGTCCCTATCTTGTTCGTAACCCAGGGACTGCCTGTATTACAACTGTGTTCCTGGGTATAGTTATCCTTTAAAGGGTGTAAAAGGGAGTACGAGTGGCTGCCACTGCTGACTGTTCCTTATGTCTTGCTCATTCAATGTTTGTAGCCGGAGCAACTTCTGTACTTTCTGACTTACTAACGAAGACAAAGCATGCAGTTCATGAGTTCTGACTTTACTGGCGGCATGCTTGTTCTCGATCAGTAATTTATACAGTACTGTAGTCAATGGCAGCCAGGCAAGTAGGATTTTCAGCATCAGGACAGCAATGGTGGTCTTTGCGCAGACATGCACATAACAGTCCTGCAGGGATGGGTGATGAAAACCATAAGAGCTGAAATACTTACCTCTCCTGATAAAAAAACATTCCCTTTTGTGTTGGCCTTGTGTCCAAAAGACTAGACATTTATTTGGTCACCTGATCTCTGCTGAAATAAAGTTCAGATTGGCTAATTTTACTTTTCAGCAGAGATCACATGGCCAAATTCCTAGGCTTTTAGTCTCAAGACCGGTAAAGGAGGGAAGATGATGCTTCATTTTCATTAGGAAAGGTACTCAACCCCTTCCATTACTTACATCCATCCCAGCTAGACTATTAGCATTCCTATACATTAAAATTTGTGTATAGATCTGACTTTGGGGTGGACATGTAGTCCATGAAGTCACTTCTGTTGTTAATTAGATTTAAGGTAATATTTCACAATTTCTCAAATGATACTGTGCACGATCCCAGCATGTAGGAATTCCTGGAAACCATAATGTGTATCATGTGTCTAACGACGCAAAGGTGTCATTAGATCAAATTTTTACAGGGAGGTTTTATTTTACAGTTTTATTTCAGAAATAGTATGATGTCATCGTTCCATTAGGGTGCTTTGGAAGGTTATTGATCATCAAGACATAGAAAACCCTAAGTAGATCCCACATGAAAATGAGGTGATAAGTCTACTTTACCGCTCCTTTAACCACTTGCTGCCCGGCGCAATTTCTTACATTTGCACACACATGATAAAATCTGAATTTTTGGCTAAAAAACAGCTTCAGATCCCCAAACAATGATATATAAAGCAGAGGCCCTGTAGAATAAAAAGATGCTAGTTGCAATTTTTTATGTCACACAGTATTTGCGCAAATGCTTATCAAACAAGTATTTTTAGGATAAAATACACTAAAATAAAATTTAGTGCACAGAAACAGAATGTAATACCCAATTTTTTGGTCAAATATAAGAGACGGGGTCACGCTGGGTAAATAGATATCAAACATGTGAAGCCTTAAAATTGCATGCGTCCTTGAAACCGCAAAAAACTACAATAACAAAAATAGGCGACGCTTTTACGGCTCATTAGTTTAGTGCTAAAAGTGATTGATGGGCCCAGAATTATTGCTCTCACTCGACGCATGCAAAGATATGCAACATGACTCCCTCCTCATCTCCTCAACATAGGGGTAAGATGTTCTATAGTCCACAGAAGAGATCTGGGCAGGGCTGACAGCACTGCTGGAGATTTCAGTGCAGCTGTATTGTCAGCCTATACAGGAAGTCAGGAGTTGACTGGAGTAACTGTTTTTTAAATATCAGTTTTAATGCATTTTTAAGGGATAAAACACGGAGTAAATTGAATGTATTGGAGATTTTAAATTTAATTTTGCCTGGATCTACACTTACATCTTTGACACTCCTGATTTCAGCGTACCTGATATTTGTGAGCTGTGCTGAATGTATCACTTACATTGAGCTAGATCCCAGGTACAACATATTCTATATATTTATATTGATACATATGTGTACAGAATAGTAGGGATGCACCGATATATCGGCCACTGAAACATATCGGCCGAAACTGGCACTTTTGGCAAAATGCCGAAAGTGCCATTTTCTGGCTGATATAGTGGTGCACCCATTCTTTCGTTCCTCCCCGCTGGGCGCTGCTCTGTGTCCCAGCGGGGGCGAGAGAAACTGTCACAGACGGCCAAGCGTTGCGGAAGGAGAGCGATGTGAGTGGCCGGTGTCTCTCCACCCTGCACCGCTCAGCCTCCTGTGACACATAGGGCGAGCGGTGTGGGTGGAGACAGCCAGCCCTGTCACAGGAGGCTGACCTTGGCTCACTCAGCCTCCTGTGACAGCTGTCAGGATGGAGAGCAGGTACAGGCAGTCAGTGATTAGTGATCACTGAGTGTTTGTAAATAATTGAGGACAGAGTATGGTTACTATATCCTCAATTATGAATGAATGGGAAGTGATCTACATCACCTCCTGTTCATTCAGTTATGAATGAACAGAAACACTCAGTATAGAGGATTCATGTTCATTCATTCTAAAGGGAAAATATTAGGGGTCTGTAGACCCCTAATATTTCTCCAAAGCCCCTAAAAGTAAAGTAAAAAATAAAAATATTTAATAAAAATAAATAAATAAATTATAAAAAAAAAAAAGTTTATAAAAAAATAAATAAAAATGAAATATTTTAAAACATTTGAAAAAGATAGAATAAAAAACATTTTCGGTTTCGGCCTGACATTTTTTTTCATTTCGGTTTTGAAATTTTCATATCGGTGCACCTCTACAGAGTAGACTACCATCTTGCAGGCAGACAATGTGATGACCGCTGCTTTCAATTTCATGCCCCCAGCTTTGCGTATGAAGTAAGAAGTATCAATCATTTATGTGCCTCAGCCAGCTAACCGTTAGGTGTGTCTCGTATGTTATTTGCTTCATTTCCTGCACCAGCATGATAACGATGGATGAAATATTTGACACTGATAATGTGTAGAAAGTATTATCTGTACTTACTATTGATCCTTGCTCTCCTTTCTGCCCCTGTTCACCCATCACACCTGGCTCGCCCTATAAGAAACATACAAAGATTACACACAGTTAAAGAGACTTGGAATAGGTAGCTTGTGTAGATGCAAACACAAAAGCTTAAAAGGATCAGAATCACAGTACATGCATACAGCAATGACCATACTCTATTAACCTGTACATAAACCCTAACAAAGGACTTCTCTTATTTGCTCCCTTTTGGTCTGTTAAAGAACTCCGGGCAAAACTTTTATTAACGGCTCGTTTTTTGCCTAGGTGCTAAAATAAAAAATAAAAAAGGAAATAGAAAAAAGTGGGCCTCCAAGCAGGTATCCAATAAACAGCCTTCGTATGAATAATCTTGTCAGCACTTGGCAGAAACATCAGAACAGCACAGGTTGGACTCAGCAGCCTGGAACTATATTCCTTCTGACTACATGTCAGCCTAGGTTAAAGCATTTCCGGGCACACGCCCATTTGATCAGAACCAGATGAAGGGGGCATGTCCCCAGAAATGCGTTAACCAAGGCTGACATGCAGTCAGAAGGAATATAGCTGGCATACTAGTCCTTTATTATTGAGCCGGAACCTGACAACTGTACGGCTTCACTGCAAGCCATGTGACTAAGTACAGGTCAGTAAACCATGTAGATATCCCACCGCACACCTGACCAATGTACCCATTATTTAGCAGGTGCTGCAGTAACTCTGCAGATGGTGCCACATACAGCTGAAAAAATATGTCACCAGCACACCAAGGATCTTCATCCAATAGCGCCTTTTTTAACGTGTAATCATAGTGTACAACAAATAGAGATGTTTTGCGATCATGCAAGGTCCCTTCATCAGGCATAATGTGATCAACCAATTATGCCCAATGAAGGGACCCTACATAGTCTTGAAGTGTCCCTTTTTTTTCTGACACTGTGACTGGACGTCAAAAAAGGAGTTATTGGATGAAGATCCTTGGTGTGCTGGTAACATGTTTATTTCTTGAATACAGGCCAGAGAATGGCATCTGATGAGGAAGGACTGCAGCTTCTGCTTAAGGAGGTGTGAACAATACAAAGTCTGCTCTGATGCAAAATCTTTGTCCAGAAAAATTGGCTGCTCAGCACTTGTTACCAAATGGCAAAGTCATACTGAGACAACATAGCAAGTGGGCATCTAAAATACCCAGTGGATGTACTTACTGGTGCCCCTTGCTGACCGATTGCTCCTCTTGGTCCAACAACACCAACGATACCCTAAAATAAGACGGCATTAACCATTCAGTTGTTTTTTCCATAACATAGTAAAGGATGTTGTATCATCATTAAAAAAGCATTCGTAAATCACTGAAATGGCAAAGTTGCTATTGTACAAAATTAAAGGGTGACTTTACGCAAAAAAAAACATTTTTAGGATTTGGACGGGCAGTAGCAGACTGACTCCTGCCCCCACTTCCCCAATCACTGATGGTATCTGTTAGGAGCTATAGTGGTTACATTTCCCCAGAGTGGTTGGATCCCATCCACACCTTTCCATAAGGCTATAAGAAAGGTGTCCTGCAGCTGGATGTCCAAGTTAGTAATACAATACTACTTCTTACTTCTGGGTATGTAGGAGCATGTGACCTATTATTCTTACTCCCATGTGACAGTGATGGTGCTTGTCCCAGTATTGTCACATGTAGTCAGAGAGACAGTCCCCATTCCTGTGTAAGCTCTGACTCTGAGTAGCCTACAAACAATGCCATTTATTTAAAAAAAAATAATTTTACATAAAAATATTCCTGCCAAAGACACCCCCATACCTATCAAGATCTATAAAGCAATGAAACTAATATGATTGACAGCAAAGACACATATGGGGGACTAGGGCGGGTGCAAGGCAGGAGGGCAGCGGGAATCAAACAGACAAGTTGGTGGGGTGATAAGACTCTAAAAATGTCAAAAAGAAAATATATGAATGTATTTCTCTCGGCTTCCAAAGCTTATACATAGTATTTGAGGTTGAATAAAGACATTATTCCATCAAGTCCAACCTATTAGGATCTTATTCTAGGAGTACCTGTACCCCTGTCTGTTACGGTCCCTTAAGAAATCGTCCAAAAGTTTCTTATACGAATGGTAAGGAGTTCGGCAATGTGTTTTATACAGTCACTGTTATTTGTCCCTGCATGGCTTTGCTGGCATTTTGCTAATGATTCTCCTCTTGGGTCCCAATACGGTAACAATTTGCTTAATTAGGTCCATTGATTAAAAAGTTTAAGGACCCCTTCCTTAGATGGTTGCACAATAGCCTCCCTGAAGTGTACACATGCTACAAGTATATGCTGAAGTAGGCATTTCATAGCAGTAAAAACCTGCATAAAAACAGATGAGTAAAACATAAAAGGCAAGTTTCTGCTGTGCCATAAACATATCATTATTGGGTTGATTTACCAAAGGCAAATAGGTCGTTCATGTTGAAAGGAATTTGCACTTTGCATTAGAAGTTTCCTCTTTTAGTGAATGTGGCGACTTCCATCATCCAATCCGGTTTTTTTCCTTACACATGATTGGGTATTCTTTGCAAAGTAGGATATCACTACATTCACCAAGCTAAGGATAAACTTACCCTGCAAAGTGGAAATTCCCTTGCAAGTGAGCAGTCTATTTGTCTTTAATAAATCAACCCGATATCTCAATTACGATCTTCTCAGATGTGAACAAAGACATCTCTGAGCAATTGTTAGTACCTTATAACCTTCATCCCCAGACTCTCCTCGATCACCATGCTCTCCGATAGAGCCCTGTGAAACGGACATTAAGTTCAACAGATAATATATACAAGAACAAGTCACTAAGGTAACAAAAGCAAAGTTTATTTTAATAAAGGTTATGTTGAGCAGCGCTCTTCTGAAGTGACAAAGGAAAATGAATATCAGCCAACAGGCACAGCTACAGAACAGTTTGGAATGCTTCCAGTCAGGTGCTGCAAACAGAAAGAAATGGCAACTCCTTAATCAATATAAACCTAACATGGTGCACAGTGGGAGGGGAAAGTCAATCAATGCGTAATTCCAAATAAAATTCCTTGGCACTCAGCCCCCAGAGCCAGCAAAAGGATCTGTCTGATCTACTGTATTTCTAATAAAACAAAATACAGGTTAAAATGCTGTATGTTTGTAGAAAGCTCCACGCCATGCCATGGCGCCTCTGTATCATGCAGTCCTACTCTAATCTACGATAGAGGGGACCACATATTAATGCAGGACTGGACAAATCCCAGGAGGCTGGTAGCCAATGATTCTTAAAAATGACAGTTGGTGCCTACATTTTGAGGTTTTCTCTAGCTGCTGTCAATGAACCCGCCTCCTAAAAAGATCCTGCTGGCTCCTGGATAGGCAATACTGGCTCCTAAATTCCATATTTATTTGTCTACTTCTGTATTAAAGCATTACAAAAACTGTGATCAGTCCTAACTGCAGGAACCGCATGATTTATACACGTGGAAAGCCCAAAATTGTAAAAAAGCAATGAAGTCTTTTTGCTTTGTAGGGGTTTTCCATGCTTTATAGGGTTTTTTTTTGCCTTCCTCTGGATCAACAGTGGGTAATTGGGGGCATAGCGTTCCGTTTAGGTTTTTTTTTCATATCTCTATAGATTGAACTCGACGTGTCTTTTTTCAACCTGACTAACTATGTAACTATGTCTTGTTGTGTGCATGCCCTAAATGCTACAAACAAAAAGAAACTAGTTGCCGTTCAACCAGTTTAGCAGTTGGGTGTACAAAGCTTTAATCTGGCTCAAGTTTTGGCTTTGTCCTGCTGAAATTCTGTAAATCCCCAGCAGTACTGTGCCCACTCTAATCCTGAACTCAGCATTTGCAGTACTGGAGGTCACCCATGTTCTCACAATAAACATAATTGTACTGGAGTCAAATGTTATCTAATAATAACCAGTTATGGGCCTCTATTTCTATCATATATGATGAACCAAACATTTAGCATTTACGGGTAATTACATACAAGTCTAAAGCATCTGTTACATTTCCAGAATTTTCATTTGCTTAAGTGCCTGAGATAACTAATATGTTTGTGCATATATGGACCAGATATTGGATTGCTCATTATATAGGACACAGCGTTTCTCTTTGTAATTTTTCCATCTATCCTGATTTTTGACATTCTGATGGCTGGAGCTTTAGAAAATGGGCATGGTTTCAATCAAATATAGTGTGGAGAATAAAACGTTGGGATGTCCATTATAGCTATTAGTAGATATGGTGATATGGTAACTATGAATAACCAAGCGTCCCTTACCCCTTCCAGATTACACAACAGATTACCCAATATGGAAGTCCAGACAGATAAGATTGTGGGTTTAAGCTCTACTATATTGTCACACATAGCATACCAATATTAGTCATCATAGCATCAAGCATACGCAAAAGAGAGATTCAAGGAGAACTCCAGGCAAAAGCCAAAATCTAAGTATATGAATTATATGCCCCCCAAAAATAGTCTTGTCTACCTTATTCTAGCTGCATGCATCCTCCATGTGGTATGTTCAACACCTTTAACTCCTGAAATCATGGTAATGGCACTCACTCATCTGCTGGGTGACTATAGGTAAAAATGGCTGTTTTAGTTCTGCTTCCTGAGCCAGCTATCCTCCCCCAGCCTTCTGATTGGACAATGAAGAAGGATTAGCACATTGATGGCTTTATCCACTTTCTCTCCTCTCCTGTGAGCATATCCACAGTGCAAGACTGACAGCACTGTGCAGGGAAGTAAAACTCTGAATGGCTTAGAGTGCTCCTCTCTCATTTTAAGTGCTGCTGTGTAGAGGTTTACATAAGGTTGATATCAAGACAGATTTAGGTATTTATACTAGCCAACTTAAAATTACATGATGCTTTTTTTCCCTTAATGAACACCTAAATGGATAAAGGAGGTTTTTATATTTGTCTGAAGTTCTCCTATAGTTTTCCAAGATATTCAGTGATAAGCTAACCTATAAAAAAGGGAATATGTTGTAAACGTTATATTATTCAATATAATGCCTTAAACAAAAGTGCTTTAGAGAAAAACCTACTGGTTCACCTGGGGGTCCCTGAGGTCCAAATACAGTACTGTCTTCACCAGGATAACCCTGCAAAAGAAACATACAATAAGGAGAGATGTAAGTGGAGATTGTTCTTGAGGCCTACTGAATGCCATTATTTAAAGGAGTTGTGACAATTGAACATACGCCGTCTACTTCATGTGTAATGCTGGGTGATAAATATTCTTTATGTCAAACACATCACACACAAGGAACCTAGTTAGAAACAGCACACATTTTATACATTGTTTTCCTATCTATAAGTATATATATATCTATACATATAAATGCTAAATCCACACCAAGAGGTTTAAACTAAGCAGAATACACATATTTGGCTGGTCTGACCCTTGCATGCTTGTCTGCTGTAGACTACAGAGCCTACAAACATCTCCCTTTTCCTCCTCCACCAAACCCTTGTCCCTGTGTTATCTGCAAGTGGTAAGACTAATTCTAGTAATCACTTACAGGTACAGCATCTGAGACATTGAGGTATTTTATTTGTATCCATTAGTCAGCAAAGTGGCAGTGAGAACTGACATCTGCGTTTACTAAAGCATTTATATATCACTGTGGAGACCTCTTCACAAGATACATCTACCAGTCTTTAAAACATGGGTCACATGAGTGTGTATAGTGACAAATACTCAAGAATATGAGCCCTTACCTTCTCTCCTTTAGGTCCTGCTGGTCCAGGGGATCCTGTCTGGCCTTGATGACCCTAAAAACAAAAGCAATACATTCACTATACAGTAATTCCTACCAAAAATACCCACTAGCACTGGTATGACCCTTTTTTTCTTTAAGGACGGTTATATGTTTATCTTAACTTTTGCTAAACTGTTCAAGGAAAATCTCTTCAGTTCCGGACCCATGGGCTGCAATGGGTTGTAAACTGGACTTAGTATATGCCTCCATTCAAGCCTATGGACTTAATGTGTAGACATGCCCCATGTTAAAGAGATTTTTATTGGACAGATTGAACAATGGAGGAGACCACAGTTTTGGAACTAAAGTAGGTAAGCAGCTGCATTGAGGGGGTGACAGCGGGGCATAGGTTAGTATAGCGGGGTAGGGGAGGTCATTAAGTGCACCTGTACTTTAAGGAAAAGCTCTACCTAAGCTTACGGGCTGAGTGGAATTCAGTGTTAAACGTTAAACAGCCATATGCTTGTTTTGGATTCAACCAGTTTTAAAGTTCCTCTGCGGTCTTATCATTAAGACTTAACTGACTGGGTGTTGGCTGGACTTTCCATACAGCTTATACTAACCCTGTCATTAAAGTTCAATAAAAGTTTTAGGAATGCAGCAAGTGATTGCAGCTGTGCCATGCATTCGAAGAAGGTGATGCAAGAACATCTGACTGCAAATCCAAAAAATTATTCAATCAAAATATGATATTCAACTCACGGAACTATACTCCAATCAAGGTATCTGTCAGTTAAGAAGACCTACACCCAAACTATTAAAGCCTCATTCCTCTCAAAATGGATTGTTTTGAAACAAAAGTGACAATATAGTTCTAACAGAAGCCAGGGGCTGATTCAACCCACTAGGCTCCACCAATTACATAAATAGGGAGATCTCCCTGCCATCATTAGCAACACTTTTTCTGTCCACTTGGACATACTGGATGTTCCAGCACCTCCTGATGTGTTTTCCATAATATAAAATAAATCAAAAATAATAAATAGACAATTCAGCAGGTAGAGTTTGAACCCCTCATAATGGCCACAGCACGTGTGCATACCCAAGAAGTGCAGAGATCTCCAAAGGAGTCCCAGAGAGATATTGTATGGTGGTCAAGCATCTTCCCAAAACATATATCAGTTTTTAGAGGTTTGTCCCTTTTTTAGTTTTTTTTTAGGTGGGAGAATATTGGAGCAGTCTGTGTGCAAATGATAAACAGCACTGCAGGACCAGTGTACAGACCAATTGTTGTGGAGTTCCTCTAGCGATCTCCACTTCTTTCTGCTGACACTGCTGCCATCTGTCAGCCTTATGTGTTGGTACAAATGACACATTGTTATGTCCACCAACACACAGACAGGCTGCAGTCCAGTCAGCGTAGGTGGGTAGAGCACTAAATCTGGACATAAAGTACTTTGCCTCAAAATGCTTGGAAATATCTATTAAGACCAAAGACAAGAAGAACCAGGACTGTAAAGTATACACTATGGGGTCTATTAATATTTTCACACAAGATTCACACAACCTTCATCCAGGATTCCCATACGTTTCCAAATAATCAAATTAGGAAGTGTGTAAATCATGTGTAAAAAGATTTGTACCCCTACATGACAACATTTTGTGGCCACCTGACTATCACACCTACAGTATATGAGCTTGTTGGGCATCCCATTCCAAACTCGTGGGATTTAATATTCCGTTGGTCTCCCCTTTAAGGCTATACTCTGCTGGGTTGGTTTCCACAAAATTCTGCAGCAGATCATTGGAAGTCTGTGCCCATTTTGCCAAAAAAGCATTTGTTATTTCAGGTACTGATGTTGGATGAGAAGACCTAGTTCGCAGCAAGCATTCCAATTTCCAAAGGTGTTCAAAAGGGTTAAGGTCAGGGATGTGTGCAGGCCACTTGAGTTTCTCCACACCAAACCATGTCTAAATGGAGGTGGCTTTGTGCACAGGAGCACAGTCATGCTGGAACAGAAAAGGGCTTTCCTCACACTGTTGCTTCAAGGTTGCAAGCACACAATTGTCCGCAATGTCTTTGTATGCTGTAACTATAACAGTTTCCTTCACTGAAAACACCTTAAATAAATAATTTGAAGGAAAGTCCACATACATTTGGTCATAAAATGTACACTACAGTAGCTCTTACCAAACACTCAGGGTGCTTTCTCGCACAGGGCGCCTAAAGGCCTAAGGCCCGCCCTGCAAACACTGCTCAGTTGTATATCACCATCTCAACCAATGCAGTGCAACTATTCAAAATGACTGCAGATATAACCCATCTCTACTCCAGCACCCATTTGGGAGACTGTCTTCTGCAAGACATCCAAGAGAACACATAAAACCTATACAAACTCTTTCCCCATACTTCCTGTGCTATCTGCTTTTGTATGGGGATGTTAAGATACCAAGTACTGTAGTTGGTACAAGTACAAGTGCTGATACTTTTCCAGCTCCATTAAAAGACTAGAGAACAACTCAGAAGTTAGGAGGCAGCTGTCAATTTTAAGGAGCACTGGCTATGGTGCTCCTGGGATTTGACTGCATTGTGCCAAGTATAAAGTTTGGTGGAGGGGGGATTGCACCGACACTATTTTTAACAGGCCAAGTAAAGGTACCGATACTTTGTCCAAGTACTCACAGATACCAGTTAGTGATTCCTTTTTTTTTTAGTGTCATGTGACAGTTTTTCTAAAACAATACAGACTAATGATTTCAGGGCAGTGGTAGAGCGCCAGAGCCAGGTCCCAGCTGCAACCCTGGTCGTTCTTGTGGAAATACCAAGCATCGCCACTGATACAAATACTGGTATCTGAACATCTCTACTTCTGTAAGCTGACAGTAGTATGGTAAACACTACATTACACCGCATACTGAAACTTCAATGTCAGGCCATTGTCTACTCTCTCAGCAAACACAGAAATTAACCATAAGGAAATGTAATGATTACACACTGTCACTGGGGAATATCTGGAAATCTTGTTTTACTAAATGTAAAAACCACATGGCTATATGCATAATGAATAGTACAACTGAAATAAATTCTGTACAGTCTTCTATAAAAGAATTCGGCTTATTCAATAAAGAGCTTCTAGTTCTTACCTGTTAAGTGCAGCCCCTCTTAGTGCATTTTTTGGGCTCCGGTAACAGCTAATAATCAAAGCTTATGTAAACCCTAACAATAAATTTATCTTATTTGCTCCCATTTCCCATTGAAAATGTTTTGCTATATTTACAAAAAGTATGTGCATAAGCACTAGAGATAAGTTTTGTTGTACTGCATCTGTCTGATGACTGCAAAAATACCAGTTGATCAGGTCAAAACTTCATAGCTGTCCAGTAAACACTTCCTGTGTTACCTCAAGAAGTCTGATTAGCCCTGCCAGTTCTTATTTTTTTTAGCAAAAGACAACTGGGCAGGGCTGACACCACTCAGTTCACAAAAAAGCTGTGTGTTGTCTGCCAATATCTGCAATAAATAGCTGACACCATACATTGGTAGATCAACAGATATTTGTCTGTACTTGCAGGGTCTTAAAAGGGATAAATCATGGGGAAATGTGCATGCATTGCGGAGATGTACTGCATATGATTTATTTTTAACATTTTGCCCTGGCAATGAATATTAAAATGTAGATTTAAATTTTCAGTGTACGTGGGCCTTTTTTTCTACACTTATTCTATTAAATAAGCATCATTCCACCTAAGTGGGGTCACACCCTTGCCTTGTCTCTGGGTTGTTTCCTTGCTTGTGGAGCCACTAGAAGGTTCTGGCTAATCTGCCACCTATAAATACTGTCCTCCCCTTCATGTCTTTGCCCTAGTACAGGATTTCCTGTGTGTATCCTGGGTGTATCCTGGGTGTTAGTGTCTGTGCTATATTGGATTCCTGGTTTATGATCTTCTGCTTGTCCCCCACCTGCCTTTGGATTTTGTACCGTGCTTCCGTTTGTTGCTGACCAGGCTTGGACTTGCTTTTTCTGGACTACCCTTTGGACCTGTTGCCTTCAGTTTGTGGCTGACCCGGCCTGGATTCTGATGCGGAGTTCCCCTTTCCTTTAGTACTACGCAATTCTAATTACTGGCTACTGACCCTGGCTGACACCATACTGTGAATAGTTCCTTTCATTATTATTGTATTACTGGTCCTGTTCTGCCTACACTTTGCTCATTGGATTGCATATCCTGGCTGCAAGATTACCATCTGTCTCTACACCTGACACCGGGATAACAAGACTGCTGGTCAGGAAATTGGAGTGATGGATGGGACTTCTTGGCAGGCCTAACAAGTGGAAGTGTTATTTCGGCTGTAGGTTCAGGTTCAGGGCTGAGCCATCCCATCCCACCAATGGATTGACTCATCCTGTCTTGTTTTATCTCTCAGGGACTCTAGCAGGGAGATCCCAAAGCCCTGGCCATTACAAAGCAAAGAAAGAGAATCTCACTCCCCTTTCAGCATTTTCTTTAATTTAAAACAAATGAAGAATTTCTTGAGATGATGGCCACAGCAGATGCCAGGAGACTGGAATTCCGGGGTAAATATCTCACCACCAGAAGCCTGTGGCTACCTCAACATACAAATAATTTACCATCACAAACTTGTGTAAGGACTTGACAGATAAAAAGCAATAATGGATTACATTCGTACCCCATATCCTGGAATCCCAGGCTCTCCCTCTGGCCCCATGGCTCCTAAATGGCCCTGTCAGAACACAAAGATATACATGTTATATACGATATAATGTTTCCTGTGCTGCTATGTACAGGATATTCAGACATCTGATTATCAAAGGCTTTTTATTTATCCCACTTGGAGAAAATAAGACATCTTCCTGTGTGATCGTGTGGAAAGATAGAGAGCTCCTTCCCAGCTATGCCCTTCGGAACTGGGAGGAAGAATGTCCTTTTTAGCTCACATGATAATTGCCATTCTTTGATCTAAACACAGAGTTTACTTTACAAATGCAAATAAACACAGGGCAAGCTTCTACATCTTGTAAATGTAATGCATGAGATTGCACAAAGATGATGCAATCCTCCTTCACATGTGAGAAAACGCACCACTGGTCCCCGTGTTCCACGTGACCCTTTGGGGCCTGATTTGCCTTGCTCTCCCTGGTCACCGATGCTTCCAATTTCTCCACCTGGTCCCATTTGTCCCTTTTCCCCCTGTGGAAAGAAGTAATGCAATAGTTATGATAAACCACTTGTAATAAGTTCACATCTGTAGTATTTTGGCGCTGTTTTGCTTTTTTGTCTAAATGGCACAACATGAAAGAAAGAACCATCAAAGATTATATCAGGAGCTAATGAGACAAGGCCATTTTAAGGCCCAACTTTGCACTACTGAACTGGGTTGCAATCCCCACAGTAACTCTTCTTTACTGGTTGAACAAAGCTTACTGTCATTCAACTTGCAAGACTGAGGAAAGTCTGTGGGTACATGGTGTCACGGCCCCGCTACCTTAATATGGTGCCCTACACTCACAGTATATTGATGCAGAGAGCAGAGCTGATGTCATCATGTTATCCAGGAGCACTCACTACCAGAAAAACACCAAAGACCCAATAACATGATTGCCCAGAAGACATTAGAAAATGATAAATAAAAAAAAATAACATACTGTTGCCGGGGGCCTCATGGAAGGGCAGAGCCCAGAGGCTTTAAAGCAGTCTGCTAAGCATTATTTGCATCTAACCTTGCCAAATAACATACTGCTACTACTGAGGCCCTTTCCATCCAACTAGGCACATCAGAATTCAATTTCATGATGCTTCTTAAGCAATTGTTGATTTTTATGGGGCCAAGTTGCAAGCTCTGCTCCCAACCCTCCTCCTTTCTCAGTAAGGGTCTGCAATTGGCCATGGCAGAGCAGAAAATGAAGACCAAGCCCAATTTAGTCAGGAGCCAATTAACCTACAACTGTGCTTTTGAATTGTGAAAGGAAACTGGATCACAGGGAGAAAACCAACACAAAGACAGAGAGATTACACAAATTCCATGGAGACAGTTCCCAATTTGGAATTTTAATGCAGGTGTCCAGTGCTGAAAAGCAACCCATGTGTGCAGGCTGATGCATGAAGCCAATAAGAAATACCTCTTCTGTGACTGGCGACTGGTTATTCACAGTTGCAGTCTAAGGGTGTCATCATATAGTCTTGTTGCCGCCCCTTATTGTGACATCATCATGACCTCACTGAGTCTTCCTAACACTGTGAGGGCCCCACCAGTGAAGAGCCTATAGGAAGTGTACATATCACCAAGGAGGAACATGGCTGCTTAAAGAAAGCCCCTCCCACTCTTTAGTGAATGCCCAGTGTGTCATGTAGCCGTGGATGCACATAAAAAATGAGTTCATTTTTTTTTCTTCAATCTACTTGGCATATTAGAAAGATGGGGTGAGGTGCATAAAGTTTAGTGGCGGCATGAGGCCGAAGATCAGCTTTAAGTGGCAGCACATTAGCACCCTAGGTATAATGCCAACCCAGGGTCACTATGATCAGAAGCCTCCTGTGCTTGTGTATGTTTCCTCTCACAACCAAAATCTAACTCAAAATATCTTAAGGGTGCCTATGATTGTGAGTGTCTATGGCATTGTTGTGAGAACTTTAGACTGTAAGCTCCTTTGGTGCAAAACTATTGTGATTGGTTCCATATATTCTGTAAACTGGTGCAGATTATTTGGAACAAAAGTATGGCACAAAAATATAGGAAAATATAATAGTAATGCAAAACCATTCATATGAAACCCAACTATAAATACACCATTCAGTGTTCTAAATATCCAAAAAGGAAATCACCTTTTTGCCTGGACGACCTCTTTGTCCTGGATTTCCTTGTTTGCCCTCTGGACCCTGTTTGATCATAAAAGAGAAATTCAACAATTAGACATAACAATTTAACACATCTGTAAATCAAAACAATAAAAAAAATTACTGCGGGTACCAAAATATTTATTAAAACAGTATTTTGTAGTCAAAGCGAATATTTCCCACTGTGGGGACCATAAAAGC